GTTACTTGGGAAGACAAACGCCATCACTCTGAATGTCCCCCCCTTCCTTCTTCTTCCCCCAGCTTTATATGCTGAGCACGATGTCATATGGTATGGAATATCCCTGTGGTCAGTTGGGGTCAACTGTCCCGGCTGTGTCCCCTCCCAGCCTCTTGTGCACCCCCAGCCTACTTGCTGGTGGGGTGGGGTGAGGAGCAGAAAAGGCCTTGACTGTGTCAGCACTGCTCAGCAGTAACGAAAACATCCCTGTGTTATCAACACTGTTTCCAGCACAAATCCAAAAACATAGCCCCATACCAGCTGCTATGAAGAAAATCAACTCTATCCCAGCCAAAGCCAGCACAGTGGTGCATTTTGCAAAGTTTTGGAATTGCAGTCTGTAAAATGCAGATGCAAGGGCCACCAAAAGAGAATGTTAGTTGGAAAATGTTCTGGGGGAGGAAGCTGGAGACTACTGCTGCCATGTACCAGTTTTCCCCATCAGACTCTCCAGCAGAGCTAATTAGGTCCTATATTTGAAGAATCAAATTGTCAGTGAGATAAGTAGATACCCAGTGTTTTCAATACAAACAAAAGTCAGGGTGTAAACCTCTGTCTGTTGCTTCTGTCAGTGAGGGGTAGACCAGGTAACAATATTATTCCATGTGATGATTTGGTTCTCTTCAAAAGCTATATACTGGTATTAAAAGACAGGCAAACTATTTTTAATTTTGATAACCATATAAGAAACCATAAAATATTTTTACTAATTAGTTTGAAATTTTCTGCACACTGCATGAGGATTTGCATAGATATTTGACATAATAATGAAAATGAGGCTTTCACACAACTGCCAGAAGGATCTCTATCTTCCTATAAGAAAAAGATTGTGGAAGACAAGACAAGCTAATGAAAATTAATAAAGTACTTTATTTGATTGATTTGAATTATTACAACATTGAGCTGTAACACAGCTACCAAATATCAGACATACAGAGTCCCTGAAGTCTGGCTGGCAGACTACAGTTGATGGAATTATAGGGCTTACTCCCACATACCTGAGAAAAAAAAGTGAAGAAAACCTGTCAAACTTCAGCAGTCTCCCAACCTCTAACGGCTTAAAAAAAAGGGAGAGCTTATAAGTGGCATTTAAGGCCTCCTCCAGGATCAGTGGACACTCCTGATGTAAAAAATACATATATACAATCAAGCTTTTAAAAAATAAACAAAAAAAACTTCTCAGCCTCTTCATATTCCTGGATTGCAACTTGGAAAGTAGATGAAAGAAGCTGGATCCTCTCACCCTTACCAACAGGCAATGACTTGAGTCCATCACAATTTTGATTATCTAAATCTTCTTATAAAAGGATTTGGGTTTGGGGCAAGTCCTTCAGTCCTATTGCCCAAATTTAATAAGTTACCCACAGTGTCCCAAACCCACTAGCATTCTCCTTTCCTCATGCAGTCAAGGCGGGTCTCTTAGCATTATAAATCTTGGCTTCTTCATACACTGGAAGCTAGTCTTGTCTAACTGGTAAAGGAGTACTGGAAAGCACTCAGCTGAGAAAAGTTGCAACACTAGTACAAACTAAAGCTCTGACCGTCTCGCAATTTGCACTTCCCAAGTAAACTGCTCCAATCAAACCCTCATGTCTGGTGAGGTAGAGAGCAGAAGGCACAATCTTACCGAGTTTGTTTTTCTGGCTGTAAGGTTGGCTGCATAGATATGAAGAAGGCATCATCTGAGCTAAGAGACAAAGCGGACAAATCTAACTACAGAGCAAGAGATGCCTTGCTTACGGAAGTCATCATTCCAAACTACCTGAAGTAGTTCAACAACGAGCATGGTTCATTACAATTACTACAGTTCAGTAAGTAGTCCAGCAGCCTTGGGGTTGGAGGAAGAGAGATCTGAGTATAGGCCCCTCTCCAGCAGCCCTTGAGAGCAATTGCCGTAGATGCTTTGAGAACAGAGACGTTATACATCTTCATCCTCTTTCTCTAAGAAGTCAGTCAAGGTACTGTCATCTACAGGAATTAATAAGTATTCCACACCATCAGCTCCCTGAGAACAGACATGCATACACATTCTGTTAACACCAGTGCACAGTGCAATGCAAGCCACTAGACAGCACTGCAACGCTTACTGTTATTTGCAGTCTGAGTGAAAGCTGGCCAGCATTCAGAAAGACTACATTGCTAAAAACCAGGAATATTTCACTAGAGCAACACTGGAAATGCACAAATACTGAGAAAAGTCAGTATATGAGAAATCTTCTGGTGAGCTATGCTAGTCTGATACTACACAGCTCCTCAACACTGTGTTCCCATATCTAGTACTGCTATACTGCCTCGTTATTAGGACTAGCCTGCATTCTTCCCTCGTGCAAATACAGGTAACTATTGGAAGCAGACTGGCAGGCTCCAGAGTCCATTACTTCTCAAGGTCTTCAGGAAGAAGAGACCTGTAGGTTGCCGAGTAACCAAAGCACACTGCATTTTTACAGCCCCCTATCCCTCAAATTGGAGGCGTGGAAAGAGCTGCAATTACAGAATTTCATCCCTTTGCTAGTTCCTAGGTGCTTCAAACCATACAGCCTCACTGTGAGCTGCAAAGTGGTGTCTTAGGGATACTTAGTAGCAAGTAAGCATCTTCTTTGTTTAAGGTGGCTGAATACCCAGAATTATCTTCTTCCCCCAACTCACACGCTTGGTCCGGATGAGCTTGTGGTCCCTGAATTCTGTCAGCTGTGCCCTGAGTGTCAGGTCACTGTTCACAAGGAAAGCCTCTCGACACTGCTGGTAGAAGTCTTGGAAAGACAGCCCTGGAGATAGAAAAAGGCGAGAACAAGGAATTGAAGTGGTAAGATTGACAGATTTTTCCAGGTCTAACACCACATATTATCTCCACCTACAAATCTTGCTTTGGCTTAGACCACAGTGGCTACAGTAACATCATCGCTTCTTTCAAGTATACAGCCAAGCTAATATTTCAGTAATTAATGGAAAACAGCTGAATTAACGTTCCAGTCACCCTGTTTGCCTAATGAAATTTTAATAGCACTTTAAATGCACTTCCCAACATGGTTAATCTCTCTTAATTTCCAACTCCTCTATCTTACTTCCAACTTTCTTTACCATTAACATGTTCTTCATATCCCTTGCAGCACCTGTTAGAGACAGTGACAGAATATTCCACATGTATCCTAGAAAGCAGGGACACATCAGAAGTCACTTAGATAGGAGCCGCATAGGAACAGACTCTCCTGTCTTTCCCTGGTCCTTTAAATGCTAGTTATGCAAATTCATATTCTTCCTTTATTTTAAATTTTTAACTCCACAGTCCCCCATGAATGGTCTCAGTCATGTCTAAACGTCAAAGCAGACAACAGTAAGAGGAGGTCCTTCAGAACCAGCCAGTCTATTGATTTCCTATCAGAGTCAGACACAGTACCACTAAAAAGACAGTCTACACCACTGAGTCTCACTGAGCCAATAGTTACAGCGCTTCTGTTGCTGGTGATGCAACCTGCATACCAAAATCCAGTGCCGCTGTGACTGACCTGGCAATGGCAACACCTCAAACAGATGAGAAAAGGTGGGTACATACCTGGATAAGATGGGTTGTCCTTGTTCTCCAGCTGGTACTGAGCAAGCAGTCTGAATATCCCCCTAAGTGAAAAGAGGAGAGGGGAAAATAAAAAGGAAAAAAAAACCCAACCCACCCAAACCCAAAAAACCCCACCATTAGAAAATATTAACTGATTTTTCCCTCATGACCATTTGTGCATGAATTTCATCACTGGACAAGGCTTGCTATCCAAACGCTGTTCATTTAAAGTAACCAATCAGCTGGAACCCAGGTCCTACCATCTTCATCTTGAACATTGTTGTCAGAAAACAGGGATTGCCTCCTGCTAGGTGTAGACCAGAGTAACCTAGTAAGGACTGAATCCTCAGCAAGTGCTACTGTGAAGTATAACAGTGTCTTACCTGGCATTGAGAGTGAGACTGCGCAGGACATGTGTTAGGGAGCTCAAAGCCAAAGATCCAGACTGTTGTACTAAAAGCGAGTTCTCGTAAGACGTTTCTTCCACATAAGGACTAAATGTGGTTGTTTCATACCAAAGCCAGTTGTAGAGGCTTAGCTTTGCCTGATCCCACACTAGACAGAGAGAAAAGAAAGAGCAGACAGAATTGGGAGATTTAGCTTTTCTAAGGAGTTAAATAAGCAACATTAAAATGTACTTAGTTCTACTGTAGGCTTTGAGGAAACAATGTATGCTTGTGAAATTCACAGTACATACACCCAGATACTTGCCGCTCAAGCAAGACAAATTCTCTGCAACAAAACATTTGCACACATCCCTTTTTCATACCAGCTTCACAGATATACTGTAAATCCTTCCAGAGTCAGCAGTGTGCAAAGAATTTCTGGCTGATAAACAAAATTGTTTAGATGCAATGACAGATATAACAGCCAATCTTCATTTCAGTAAGTCCCTAAATCAAAGGCTGCCAGAAGCTTGGAGTCTATTTGTATATTATGATCAGTGACTGGTAGTTATCAGTATCTTTGTACAGTTTTGGTTCAACACAGCCACGGTCCCAATCGGGGCTTCTAGCTGCTACCACCATACGTACATCACCAGATCTATTTTGCACACCAACAGTAATACATGAGCTTATGAAACATGCTCAGTAGCCCCAAAGTAGAACACAGATTCTTCTCTCTGCTACATCAGGCCCAAGGGGACTCACTGAGAGGAGCATTGATGTGATCGATAGAGGCAATGAGGTAAATGCTAGGCAGAGAGGATAACTGTGCAAGGATCTGCTGACTTCTTTCTCCTCTCAACATCTGGCTGTCCAGGTTATGAATGAGGACATAGAGCTCTAAAGATGAATCTGCAAGGTCAGAAAAAAACAGCAGAGAACCAATCAAAGAAACTGCACACAAAGTGGTTTCCCATTCCCAGTGCAGCCTAGGACAAGTCTATTCCATCAGGCTCCATATTCATCACTCCAATATCAAATAACTTTCCTTGTACAGCTTGCTTTGATCTCTATCCCACACTTGGTGTTTCTGAGCACCTAAAAGGCTTTTTCTCAATTCACTGTATTGCAGTTCTCATCACAGCTACAGTTCTTTTTGCAGTTTAAGCTTTTCTTTTATAATCCACTTTCCACTTGCTCATGGCTTTACCAGGAATTGCCCTTTTAGCTATGACTTTTAGTCCTGCGATTCAAGGTTGTTCAAATGTATTTTAGGATAGAAGTCTACGCAGTTTGTTCAGCTGCTTTTGAGTTACATGACTAGGATCCTTAAGCTCCTCCTCACACAATGGAAATGCATCTTCTGTTCAGGGTTGGATCCAAAGCATACTAACTTCATTGGAAATCTTTCCCACTGAGTCCTCAAAGGAAGTTACAAAATATTAGCTTGGGTAATGCAAATGGTAGATGTTAAAATTTCCAGCTAGCTTGTTGCTGCTGTACTTGTCCCTGGGAACAACTATTTCCTGAGTCCAGAAACAATTCTAGAACAGTAGCCAATTTTTGTGCAAATGAATACATACTTGGCTGCCAATGGAGACCAAAGGTTCCTCAGACTCCCAGTCAGATCAGCTATAGTGTACTACACAAGACTGATTTATGTAGATTCAGGTGGGTACCGTCGTTAATCAGTCTTTTTCACTTAGTCTCACCAGCAATACTCATAAGGTAATGATGGAAAACAGAATGTAAACACTTAAACACCAACACCATGCACAATTAAGATTCCATGGCAATTTGTGTATGTATACACAAGCAGTAAAACGGACATTCAAAAAGAATTCAGCAAGCATTCTGTGTGGCAATACCTGTTTAATTTTGCTTTTGAACCCAATTCTAACCTGCTTGTTTGACACTGCTGTCTTTTATTTCATCTTAATGTCAGTATTTGCGTATATTAAATTTAAATGACCATTCCACTAAACCATGTACATTTAAGCCTTAATCCAGCCTATACTGAAATTTATGGAAAGACCCTCAGGCCATGATTTTCCAGAGGAGCTCAAAGGACTCGATATCTGTCAACAACTGTCATTCCAAATTGTTTGCAAGTTCTTCGTTCTGTTGATTTCAGCAAGGTTTATATCATGTCCTCAAGCAGCCACTAAGAACCATCTTCGCTCATGTAGCTGGAGTTTACCTATCCTGTCTTCCACCAGGAAACACGTGGCTACAGAAACACTGTGTAAATAAAGCACAAAGGCACTGTGCTAAACGCAAGAGAGAGATGAGCATTTCAGTTTGCCAAAGGGTTGAGGAGCCTCTGTCTTGTTAGAGCACTCGTGCCTTCCTCCTTCCCCTTCTAGAGAACTTAGTGTGTGAAACACTACTGAGGTAACAGCTTGGGATCATGTACGTATATATTTCTGGTGCATATATGTTTTCATATATGTGGCATAAATTACAAGCAAGAAAGTATACTAGCTACAATAAACTAAGAAACTGTAACTGCACATACGAAAACTATGAGGAAAGAAAATGTCCAGGGTCTCCTAACAGGAAGTGGACTCTAACGTTTTTAAGTAAAAAGTTAGTCATTTTACCTTCTTTAAACCTTTTAATGATGAATTCAAGTTGGTCAAGGGGGCTGCGGAAGGTCCCTATATGGTCCAGTACCTCCTCTGTGATGGAGTTGAGAATCTGAAAAAGAAAATCGCAGTCCCTTCTGAAGGGCTCTGGCACTGAAGGACCTAGTGCAGAAAATCTGAAAGTGAGCCCTTGACTGTCATGAGGGAGGTAATCTGATTTTTACCATCAAATCCCCAAAACAGTCAACATAAACCAAAAAATTCTACCCCTTTTCAAAACAGTGACAGAAAATAAGGCTTTAGACTGATGAGTATCTATTAATGACGGCAATTACTGCAATTCCTTGGAAAATGCATGGGCTAATTTCTTTAAAGTCTCAAAAGAGAGAGAGGAACTGCTCTTCATTCAAGAGTCTGCTGCTATAGGATGCAGCAGGTTTCCTTAACATTTTACATTGAAAGGCTTTAGAGGTATCTGTAACACAGGATGATTAGATAAACCCATAAGCTTTTCCCACACTTACGGATCTCACAGTGATGCTGGGGAAGTATCCATTAACCACAAGGTGAACAGAATCCTGGAGCACAGAGGTGCGAAACTTCTCTAACAAATCACGCTTTGAGCCCAGTCCATAAAGCACAATATTGAAACCCAAGCTGCAGAAAAATGAGCAAATACACTGAATCAAAAAAGTACAAGCCCCTTTTTAGGTTCATACATTCATTAAGCAAAATGATCCATTGCAATCTTGCCTCAAAAAATTTCATATTTCATCAACTCCAGGTTTACCTTCAGCTCACAGCTGACAAATACGGTTAGCTGCAAGGAACCTGACATGTGGCACGTGCATCCTAGTAAAAGAAGCTTTTTAGCAGCCTGGAGGCCCACAAATTTAGCAAAACATCTATGGAAGAAAATGGTATTATCCAAGAATATGAGACTAGATCTGCAACTTCAGATAACAAAGAGTAACCAGTAACATTCACCCCCTCACCACTGATTATATTAAACCTTTACCACGGGTCACAGCAATTACAAGAAAAAAAGCAAGCCTTCATAGTGGTTTTCTACTCTGATCCGCAGGTGCAATTTCAAAGCAAAATTAAACTATTCTCGTATCTCTTTCTTATCCGAATTGTTCCACAGAGAAAGAGGCAGGAAAGCACAAAGACAACATGGTAGGGAATCACAAAGCTTTGTTTATTTTTGAGAAGCAGGAAAAGCATCATCTTGACCAGAAAGAAGAGTATCAGGTCACTCAAATAGCATTGGGCAAAGGTAAGGTGTTCAACAACTGTCATTGACTTCAGTATCATCTACGGATTTGTTCCTTCTACCCTGCCACATACATCTCTAACCATTTGCCCAGATCACCGAGTCACAGAGAACTCCTCCTCTTGCAACTCTCCAACTTTCAAAGCTAATGTCTTTTTCATATGCTCTGTCACTTCCCATGGACCACACATTTCTTTATACTCCACTCCCTTACAAAGCTTCCAAGGGGCTTTCTCCTCACCAACATCTGCTCCTGCCTCAGCACTTAACTTCAGAGCTGGTGGCCTGCCTTCTCTAAGGCGCTTCAGAATCTCACAGCTCTCTATAGTTCCACATTTGCTTTCCCGGATGCTTACTCTTTTCTCCTTCCCATGAAGATACACACAAACCCAGATAAAATTTATACTGCTAATGTTTCCAACAGCATTAAGGTTTCTTTGTGCCTAGATCACTAGGTGCCATAGGCATTCAAAGTTAACTGCTACACCACTGGGAATAGCCACATACTGAAGAAATCAGTGGTGGGCTACTCACTACCAACTACGCTGCCGTAAGCAAAACTGATTGTTCACAAACGACACTGTTCTCATCATTCATGTTCCCTGTTTTCTCATTATTCACGTTCCCTGTTTGTGATTGCCCTCTAGCTTGGTTTACAGAGGCAGAGACAAACTAGCTAGGCAGAATGCAGCCTCATTTCACTTCAGGCATTCAGTTCAAGGAGTTAGTCAGATATGATTTGGTCTACAGGAAACATTGTACTAAATTAATGTCACCTAACTTCAAATTTAAGCAATCAATCAAAGAAAAAAAGTCACTCCTTAACTCATCCACAGGACGTTGTTGACATGAGGGTAAGTTTACTGGCAGCGCCTGTTTACTAGGCTTCTTCAGTGATTCTCATTGGATACTTACTGTAATTGGAGCATCCACTTGGAAAACAGGGATTCGTGTTGCTGGTTTAGCTCTTTAATTTCAGCAGCATAGGCAAGGGGAGCTTTTTTCAAAATGTCATGCAGTGTTTGCTGTGTTGAGAAAGAGAGAAGATGACAGTCATTCAAAGCTGAGAAAAAACAATACATATATCTGGGGTCCTTACAAATACCCCTCTAGCATGCTCTCTAGTAGGGGCAGAGTAGTTTTCACTGACGGCGCGCTCAATTTGTGTTTTTTTCCATGAAGACCCCTGTAAGGACAGTTTTGCTACTGGAGAAACAAAGCAGAGATTAAGTAACCTTATTATGGGAAATGGCAGCCAGACTAGGACTAGAGCCGATATTGCACTGTGTTTTATCTCTTCCTGCTGAGTATGGGAAAACCGCTACTGAAATAATGGACACACTCAGAGCTTACACAGCACCAAGCACTGTACCAGGAAGATACCAACATCACAACCCTGCTCACAGGAGCAAGGGCTCCAATTGACATGCTTAGCGATAGTTCAGGTGTTTTGTCACTACAAGAGAATGCTCACAAACGTCATCTTAAAAAAGAAATAACAGCAGAAAGGAAATAATTTGCAGCTGACAGCTAAATGTAGAAAAAGTATTATTTCAAAAGCATCAAGAATCAAAGGATTAATTCAGCTTTAAAGATATGCTGGAATGTTGATGTTTAAACAGCACAGCAGCATGACAAATGGCATCAAATCTACACTGGCCTCCCTTTCTCTTCAATTTTAACAGCTTTGCTTTCCACTCCCTTGCAGTAGAAGACAGTTTACTCTGGAAAGAACACAAAGACAGCTGCAATGTACCAGACAAACATAAAGCATTGAGAGACAGAACTGCTAAGCCTTCAATTTCTTTGGAGCCAGCAGTAGATTTAATACTGAAAGCCTTGATTTCCTTCCAGAGCTGTTATGAAAGAAATTGTTAAGAATCCAGATGTTTCTTTGGGTAGCAATTCCAGACCACAGCAGGCATCAGGCAATCTGCATATATGCCATCTTTTAAAACACAGATGGGTGCAAAAAGCAGTCATACACATGAGAGCTGCAAGTATTTTACACGCTTCCCTGGAACCTGTCCTTGTGTACCTGTCTCTGTAGGGTGCAATTACTTGCTTTGAATGGTCTTGTAGAAGTGGCATATTAGAAAAAAAAAATACAGTAATTCAGTCACCACAATTAGACCGTTCCTGGCTCCTAGGAACTGGAAGGGGACAAAGCGCATTTCACAAACTAGGTGACATTTAGAGCTGTCCCAGTCCTGCACGTGGCTTGACCCAATAATGCTGGACTCTCTCCATTTCCTCTACACATAAATAGTCAAGACAGCTTGTAATTCCCCTAAGCATTTCATTGATAAAAATGCTGTTTTGGTGAGAATTTTTAAGGCAGGTCTCTACAACTCTGCTTCTCCCTCTTCTCCTCCCCCAAAAGCAAACTTTAACCTGTTCTGGTAACTGCAGCTTTGATCTATCTGCTCACCTCATAGTGCCTTCTCCCTGCATTTTCCCTGCTGTCTCAGGTTCAAACAACTGGGCACTGTCCCTGCTCAGAGCAGCAGTAGAGACCTAATACTTAAAACGCTACCTAAATCAGTGTTACCACTGAGAATGTAATCAGCAGAAATAACGTGAAAATAGCAATATCAGGAAGTTTTGATGAGGGAAATCTTCATCAGAGAAATCAAAAGCTCCAAAAGTTTTGTGATTCACTATGAGATGTACCTGATTCAGTCGTCTTTTCCGCAACTTCTGCAGCGTTCGGTCCGAAGTGAGCACTTTGGAACTACTGTGAGCTTCAAAGTATTCCTCCACCAGGTTGCTCTAAAAAGGGACAGCAAGATCAGCCACACTCCTCCTGCTATCAAGTTACCCCTCTCCCTTTGCACCCACAAACATGTCTGAAGTCAGTCAATATGAGACATAGAGCAAGGATGAATAGAAAGCCAGAAGGTATTTGCAAAAATGGCTTCTACAGTAGCATTCTGCCAAAGCTAACCTAGTCAGATGGTTCTTTCCTGAAGACAGAGACAGAAAAGAGATTCTGAGAGAGCAGAACATAGCAATAATTCTAAGGGCGTGTGGGGATCCCTGGTGCTGGAAGGAAATCAGAAAATGAAGCTGAACACCAAGCCAGAAAGTAACGTGTGCTTCTTCTGGTGCTATAGGAGTCAATTTCTTCATCCTTTCTCAGTACAAGGTCTCCTGCTTCATGGATGTCTTAGAACTTCTTCTGGAGCTGCTGAGGATACAGACTGGATTAGCCCACAGGCTCACATGATGCCTGTCCAACAGGGATTGCTCAGAAGTACAGCAAAAGCCAACCCAGCTGGTTTGATTTGAAATGAGTCTAGCAGTTCTTCCTCATAGTTAGGTGTGGTCACTGACAGCTTATTGTCACTAAACATCCCTTCACGCTTGCTAGCTCAGGGGTATATTTTCTGCACACTCACCATCTTGTCCTCCTTAATTTTTTTGGCTAGGGTGTTTCTGGGAGGAGGCGTAGACAGAGCCTTAGTTTTTGCTGGGGTCTTTCGACCTGATAAAACAGTGCTGACTTCTTTCTGGTCTTCCTCATCCTCCTCCTCTGAGCAGGAAGCAGAATATTCACTCTCACTTTCTAAATAGGGATCTGGAGCTAAAGCATAAATTTAAGGTTAAAAGCTAGCAACGGCTTCTTACACAGAACACATTTTGCACCATCTCACTCTCTCACATACATTTTCTAGATGTTTTTCAAGCATATGATTCCTAAATATATTTCACAGAAAAGTAAAATCAATGCTGAAGAGGACTGCAGACACATAGCCATTTCTTTCCCAGTTCTAGGTTCACAAATTGTTGTTTAGTAAAGCTTGCTCCTTGATACCAAGTAAGAAACATAATCCTACCATAAAAAGTGACTAAAAATGGACAATGGAATTCCCTATTTCTCTTAGCATCTCTACACCGGTTTTCCCGAATGCCAATCATGCAAGCTGAGTATTTTCTGGGTCACACTCTGCAAAAAAGGTTTTGTAAAAGACCTCTGTTAGCAAACAGACGGAATCTGGCTCAGTCTTGGTCTCTCAACACAAAAGAAGAAACAGAACATGAAACGCCATGCACTAAACTCTCCTCTGCCTTCATTTTGAGCACATATAGCCAACCAGTTATTGGAAATACATTACCATGAATGTTCCAGCCATCATCAAAAAGTTTTATAACTTGGTCCAAGCAATTGTGCCACACATAAGTGTCAGCATAGGTTAGATTACTGAGAGTTTTGTCTCTTTTGATCATGTTACTGAAGTTCAGCAACTTAGTGTTTCTAACCCTTCCACCCCTTACCTAAGTAGCAATCTGTTGTAGGGAAAAGGTCTACACAGACTTCCTTAAGGACATTTCTACACTCTCTGCAGGATGAATCAGATTGCTCCAGTCAGACTACTGCTACAGGCAGAAGCCCACCAGGAGAAACACTCGCCTCTGAACACAGTGCCTCAGTGACTGTGGGAGCTGACTGCAAAGGTTGATCTTTACCTGCTAGCCTCTTTCTGAGTCTGTAAGGTGTGGTAGCCACATATTCTTTCTTTTTACTCTGTAACTGCAAAGAAAAAACATGCATTAGAAGAAGAAACATATCTCCTCAAAACAGCCCTCTGCCAAGCAAAGAGTAGAATCAGGTTACATTTCCAAGCTATTTCAGCCCACAAGAAACTGGGAAAGCAAAGGCAATAAGTACGGAGAGTTCTTGTTTTGCCATTCAGAGCTACAGGGGGCAGGATCAGGTTCCAAAAGGGGCTTAATTCTTTCAACTAATGTCCCGAGATGGAGGGTAGAAAACTCTGAATTCTCCAACCAAGATGCCAATCTTGGCCCCTCAGGAAGAGTCAAACCGAAGCAATGACAAACTGGAAATGCTTCGGCTCCCCAGAGCAGTCACCTTCCACATCACACTGTCTACTCAAAGTCATTTGGAAGTCCACTATGAAAACAACGACCAGAATGACAGAAGACCACTCAGAATACTAAGCCCAGAAGAAGTACAGCAGAGAGAATCCAAGCTGCCTGGGCTCATCAAGTGGTAGTGGCACATCTTCCTTACATAAGTGTAAAGCACACACCTGACTCGGACACCAGATCGAGTCTGTAATATTTAGGAAACGCTTTTGTTAATCCTGTCAAAGTGGATGTGAAATCATCAAGGAGTGAATATGGCATCCCAAAACAGCATCTCTTACAGGCATATCTCATCCTGGAACCTTATACCAGAAAAGCTGCGCACACATTTCTAGTATGATGCTATACCATTTTAGAAAGCCAACTGTTTCACAGCACTCTCTTTATAACCACCACAACTGGCAGTTCTGGACTGTGCCTCTCTGTAGCATCACAAAAGACAACATCAACTTACATCCCCCCATTGTGACAATTTATTTTTTATAAACCAATGCTACAGTAAGAAACTGAACACCACCACAGTTCTTGAATTCCTGTTCTAACAGCACTCCTTACAATCAAGGCTGTTTCTTCCTTTGATGAGAAACTGGAAAGCTATGACTGGAAAGCTAAACTGCATATTAAGTGATTGTCTAACATCCTCATTTGTGTGATGCAAGGAAATAGTCTCGACCCATGCTAATTAAGCTGTCAAACCCACTATTGCCCACTGACCCTAAATCCCATAGTCCTGATTAATGGTAGCTCTGGTTCTCACTTGAGTTAATCCTGCCCAGTTGGATTAGGAGAGACATCTGTACTGTGGATGAGGCTTTTCAAGGTCCTTCCTTTCCAGAACTGTAGTAATTGGCCAGTTCAAGTTTTAAAAGTAAAAAGAAAAAACCAAAAAAACCCCCAAGCAAGGTAGAGTCATCACTCACCCTCTGCTGCACTTTGTTTGAACCTGAACGTTCTGCAAAGCAAGAAACAGCATTGTTCAGAGTACTGCATATTTTCAACAGTGGTACAAGATGGTCCTTTAGAAAAACAGGCATTCGCTATTCAAAGGTACACTGCACCAGAATATCAGCTCCCTGGGTGGTTAATCCTATGAGGGAAGCCTCTAGTTCCTCACAGGTAGGCAAGAAGAGAACAAAGACAGTCAATGTTATTACCACAGAAGGCAGCTTTTAATTCTGGTCACAGGTTTGGGAGACCATCAGCAGGAGGGAAGAGGCTGAAAAATGAGCTGATGGCCTCTCCCTGGGCACATCAGACTCCATTTCTGAGCACAAAGTATCATGCTCTTGCCAGTGTTGACCTGCACTGACTTCTCCCACCTGTATTTCTCCCTACAGCATTGGGTGGTCGAATATTATATAACAAAGTGTGAATTTACACATGAACACCCACACAATCCTACCCATTTGGTGCTCAACACATCAGCCCAACTCATAACTCTCTCAAGTGCAAGCATTTCTGTTGAACACAGAGGAAATCATTAAGTGTCACAGCAACAGATGAGAGAGAAGTTCCTGTTTTCTCTACAGCAGCAGGGCAGAATAAAAGATCTGACACCCAGGTGAACCAGAGGCCATGCATACCAAGCAGTTCAGTCTACAATGTTAAGCTGACTAAAATACTCAAGCATGACAGAAGCTGGTACTCAAGCATCCACTCCACCACCCAAATAGAAACATAACCCCCATTCACTCAGCTTCAGTTCCCCAAAGCATCACAGGACTTACTGCTGCTTTGAGGGGTTTTGGCTGTCTTCTCAGGGCACTCAGAGTGATCAGGTGCAACACTCTGTCCTGGTGTCTGGGCTAATTCAGCGGCTGTAGGAAATAGGGGGAAGGGAAGAAGTTTCACATGTCAGGTACAAAACTCCCAGCTCTGGCTAGTCAGCCATGGAGCCATACATCTGAAACACTAAGTATTAATTTCCTAGCTATTTCAGGAAGTGCACCAGATACTTCCATTTTTTTTCTAACCCTAATGGTGAATGTTATCCTTAACAAAGATTTTCAAAGACTGAACTCCTCAGTTAATTCATTTTACAAGTATAGCTGAGGCAATGGCAAAGCATGCTTTGCTCCCTGGGAGACCACATGTCTTCTTATCAGAGCAATGTTTGGTCATGCTCACTTAGTCCTTTAAAACTGCTCAACTGGATATAGTAGAGCATTAGGTATAGCAAACACATCAGTTCCCCAGGAGGTGGGTTCTTGTATTCTGTTTACCTCTTTCTACTACTTATCAGCACAAGCTGAAGTTGAATCACTGATCTGAATATGGAAGGCCCCCGTATCCTGCTAACACTCCCTCAAGAAAACCAGCCTTCCACTGTATGACTTGCCTCAGTTTTCAAACTGAGTCACGGCTCCAGGAGGGAGCACCAGTGAAACCTACCCTGCTGCAGAAGGAGGTGTAAGAAACACACAACTTCCCAAAGCACAGCAGAAGCCCAGAGGAGAAGTAAAGAGGTACGGAAACCAGTTTCTATATAGCGATACAGAAGGATGACCCCTCTCCCTTGGATCATCCTTTGTAGGATGTATCAGTAGCTGTGACAGCTAAACACTAATGAAGTTCAGATGGTGCTGGGCACACAAGGAGTCTTCAAGTGAGAAGAAACATAGTAGCAGCAGGACTCAAGCATCTTATTTGAACAACACCCTACCCTCTCCAGAACTGCCACTTTCTGCTTGCTTCTCCTAAGTCCACAGTTAGCCTAGCAAGCACACTCAGACAGTATGAGTAGGAGAAATCCCCTTACACACAAAGCTAATACTGCCTTTTTTCACTCTTTGCTACATGATGAATTATTCTCATATCTTTCTAAGTTACACAAATAAAACCCCTGCCATCCTTTGGCACTTACACGCAGACTTTCTCCCAGCATTAAGAAACTTCTACTTTTTCTTACGCGTTTTTTTATTATCTGTATTTCTTATCCCCACCATGGCTTTGCTTTGTCCTAGCCCTGTGCTTTTGTTTCTGAGGAAGACTGATTCAGAGCCAGATAAAAGCTATTGAAATACTGCAAACGTATCTTTTGAATAAACAGAAGTGACAAATCACGTTAACAGGGTACTCAGAAAAAGACCATAGCCAGAGCAAGAATGAAAGAAGAAAGAGGAAAACATACCCAGCTCTGCCATTTTGCTGGAGCGTTTGGGAGTCTGGAATGAGTAAACTTCACCACCACTCACACTTGAGCCATTTCCCACTGGATCTGTGAAAAGATATGTTACTTGTAGCTATTTAAAAAGCACTGATATATTCCCAACCCAAGGAAGATGGAATGCAACATTTTACTATTTGGCTCAAAGGACTCTTTATATTGCAGCTGTTATGACATAAATATCATAATAAAATCCTAGAATCATTATTCTCTCCTCTACCTGTTACCACAAGCACAGCCAGAGCTAGTCAGCCCTCAAAAGCAATTTCATCAACATTGTACAACCTTGACACTGCAAGAATCTCCTGAAGTCATGGCTGTGTTAGGTTTTCCCCTGCTAATACCTTGGGCACATATTCCAAGAGCAGCAACATAGTTCTTCTCTTCCAGGATCTCCTGAGCTTCGTCATCTGAAATATTCTCAAGCTTCTTCACAAATCTCTTCACACTGACTGTCAGCTGAGTCTTGTCCTTCCGTACTTTAATCCCTAGGATTGCAATAAAAGCTTTAACCTCCTGCTATTTCGTTATTTCTATTGCAATATATTAGTATATTTCTAATGCAGCTCCCCCATTTAGAGACCAAGTGCTTGTTGTGTGACTCGCTAAACAAATACAACGCTGAAAAGATGTCCCACTAAAAGAATAGCTAGTCTGTGCCCTAGTGATCAGCTGACCCTACAGCCATTAGTCCCTCCTTTACCACAAAAGCTGGCCCCAGCAGTCCATGAGGACAAGATCCCCATTTCAGCACACACCAGCTTCCACAGTTTGGGAGAAATGACAGTGACTCACACATAGAAGTATCAAACCGCATGCAAAGGGGTTGGTATTTGGCGTCCCCTATCTCCCCTAGCAAAGGGGAGCAAGTGGAAAAGACCTGGCCTATAGGCTGTCAGTACACTCATGGGAGAATCTAGGCTGAGACCTCTGGAGACCACCTGTCCAACCTTCTGCTCAAAGCAGGACCAACAGCAAAGTCAGATCAGGGTGCTCTGTAGCTTGTACAGGCAAGTGTTGAGCGTCTCCACAGAGGTTCCAAACCTTAAGAGTAGTCAAAACTGCAGCAAAAGACTCCTGTAGCAACCACCTCGAACCTCGTTCCGATTTGATTCTGTGCGTGTTTAACCACGTCAGGGGTTGGGAAGTTCGCCAGGCTGTTCGCGCCCCCTCTCCCAGGCCGTGACGCACACGTTGCTGTTCGGGAAGCTAGTATCGAGAGCTAGTACCCGCAACACCTTCAGCTGAGGGCACTCGCCACGATGCCGCAGCTGCCCCTTTCCACGTGCCGGGGCGGGGACAGAAACAAACTGCGGCAGAGGCAATCGGAGGAGAAAGACGCCGAAGGCCTCGTCCTGCCTGCAGCCCGGCCGAGGCGCTCAGCCGCCCCGGGTGTCGGAGAAGGGCTCCCTTCCCGGGGGGCGCCGCGGCTGCCCCGACCCCTCTCCCAGAGCCCT